GATAGTTTGTACACAAAAAAATAATCCTTATAGTATCTTAACGTAATAACCTGATTCTGTTTCTCCTTCAAAAGGGCAAGTAAGGACATATAATTCTTGCTGATTTGCACCTTTCTTAAAAAAGAATAGTTATGTCCATCAATTACTTCCAGAGGAAATAGAAAGAGGTAGTGGTAAAGCAGCACTTTGTTTGAAATTTGTCATGTTGGAGCACATTAACGTTGAGTGCTTTACTTCATTATTAGTTGGAGTATAAACTCAACTCTACAGAGGTTAATCCCTTATGTAGGTCTACATTTGTTAATTGGCTACAGAAGGTCGAACACAATAAGATCAGTTACTCAACCTTAACATACACTTTATTTTCTTGCTATATAGTATTTGTATTTGAACTATAATACTCATCACATGTTGAATGTTACTGTGTGAACTGTTTTGTCTGTTGTGCAGGGTTTGGCTTTGGGTGGTTATACTGTGAAAATCCCAAACGTCTGGTTTGTAAAGTCAAGTCTGTGCATATGATAAATTCATATTTTTGTCTTATATTACTTAATCCAACTAACTCATGAGGTGAAACAAAAATACTTTATTCCATAAATTCCTTGAGCCCCAAGGGGATGTAAGAGGTGTCTGCTTTTACTTTGTAATTTTAATTATTACACCATGACGCAAATGTATATCAACAAGCATTTTGAGTTCGCAGTATGTTCACCGGTCCTCTGAAGAACCAAATATCAATATACACCACAATACAAAACAATATACACTTGGCACTTTGTAGTGGAACTAACTGAGTTTATTGCTTTTGCTCTACAAACACCTGGTTCCATTTTATTCTATATTCATCTGCAATAAAGATATCCAGCATCCAACAAGCACCAATTATTCCAGACAATCAGGGGATATCAAAGACAATCATGCTGTTATTCTGATTTTAAAAATAAATCAATATTTGTCATTAGGTTTACATACTTATCTTAAGAGATATGGTTTAACACATGACCCAAAGAGGTGTTACACTATGCAACACACTGTCATGTTACGATTCTTCAACCCTCTCTTTAGTAGTACAGATGCACCAATATGCCTTTAAAGAGCAAATATCAAAAACATTTTTCTTCTCATTTTTGTTGATGCTACGATGCATGTAAAAAAAAAAAAAAACAATATCTGAATAGAGCTATATATTAATATATTTCTTTTAGCAGTTTACCCATGCCTCTTTTAAAAGGTTTACACAGACCTGTTGATGTTCAGGTCAGCTGATCATAGCACTGGTTGGTTTGAGTTTTGATAGAGAAACAAATCTCATCGGCCAAATAGAACATTAGGCTGACATCAGTTCAGAATATGACATCATGCTTTTATATTTGTGTATCAGTATATGTAGCGAGTCAGCCTCTTTGGTTAAGTGCTTGCCTGCTGTGGCCCTGTATAAATTATTAAGAGGCGGACTACTGTAAGTGGCCAACAACGGGCTACATACCACAACTTTCAGTAACTTCTTTAAACAATTCCAAATGCTTTACAGGAGCTTTTATAAATTAAATACGCTGCAAATATTTCTAAACAAAATTCAGAGAGCAAAAATATTCCTTCACATATTCTCCAGAAAGTAGGCGTTCTGATTGGCAGTGAGTCTAGTTTAACCATCATTGCTGCTGTTCCCTCCACACTTGCTGTAACTGTAAAATCTCTCCGATGTGGATCTTCTGGTGTCTTTTCAGGTTCTCCCCCCGACTGAAGCTCTTTCCACACTGGCTGCAGTAGTAAGGTTTCTCCCCTGTGTGGACCCTCTTGTGTTTTTTCAGGTCCCCTGCCTGACTAAAACGTCTCCCACACTGTATGCAGCCATACGGCTTCTCCCCTGTATGGCACCGCAAGTGGATCCTTAAGTTCCCAACCCTGCTGAAAGACTTTCCACAAACAACACACAGGTGTGTTTCCTCCCTGCTAAAGTGCTCCATTCTCATTTTTCTTGCATCAAAAGCAGCCTTGTGGGTTTTTGTGAATCCATGCCTCCTCGGTACGGCGTGATTTGAGTGGAAAAAGACTCGTCCGTGAGATTCAGTGCTAACTTGGGACCTGTGTTTCTCAGCAGAGTTGAAATGTGAAGAGTTGCTGCTTAAATCTACACATCCACTGTGCTGCTCCTGATCCGATGGCTGCTCTGATGCTGCCAAGTCTGTTGGTTCTGTTTTGATGACAGCCAGGTTCAGCCCAAGTGAGACTTGAGAAAGTGGGATAGACGCAAAATTTGATGAGGCAGAATTGACATCCCTGTTTGCACTCTGTGACACGTGGACAGTCACTTCCTCCTTAACAATCTGTGCAACCTCCTCGCTTTGTGCTTTGCAATGTTCTGTTGCTTGTGCTGTGTTGCACTCAGACTGTGGTTTAACATTATTGTAGCTTTCCTGTTGGTTTCCGTCCTGCTCTCCCTCATTGTCGAACGTGTGGCCCATTTCATTGTTTTGGTCTGTGAGGGATACTTCTGCCTTACACCTCAAAGTCAGGCTGGACTCCTGCTCTTGATGGTGCGCGCTTTCCTTTTCTTGAGGTAATGAACTTATTGCAGGAGAAGCTGCTGTGAATACCAGAAAAAAAAGAAGGAGTGTTACACTTTTTCAGAGGTAACTCAAAAAGATGAGACGATAACATACGCTGTCATGATAAATCCTCATGAATACCCACCAATGCTATCTCTTGATAAGTGTTCCTGAAGCTCATGCAGTCTTCTCTTCAAACTCTCATTCTCTCTCTGTGTTCGGGAAGTTTTGTCCTGGTACTCCGACACGGTCTCCTTCACCACCTCCAGAACCTCCTGCACAGCTTCATTCAACAGTTTGGCCACTCGAGCGTTCAAACGTTCAAGTTTAGACATCCTGAAATAAAATGACAAAAAAAAGAGGTGAGATTGCTTCTGAATTAAGCCCCTGGAAATGAAGTATTACGTTTAACAATACTACTAAATGACCAATAATAGGATTTTTTTTTTCTCAAAGACAAAAACACAATAGGTGTCAGTAGTTCAGAAATGTACTGAGCTATATCAATTCATCTACTTTTGTTGAAGTTAAATTATTCCCCAGCAAGAGCTTTGATATGTGTTACATAATAATGTGGTTTAATATTACAGGTGCTTTAGGTCGTTTTCAATCAGGTTAATCCTCCAGGGTCCTTTCATTTCAATGTTATTTACATGAAGCAGAAATACACGTTTTGCTGAGTTACAGACAACATAGTCGTTCTCGGTTTATATTACGTTGACTTTAAAGCAAACATATTGAAAACTTTTGATTTAGTTTCACGGCGTAACGTTACCTGCCAGCTGAGCCCGTGAAGTCAACACCGACGCACCTTTAGCACCTTTCTGTGAACTTAAATGGTAACAACAAAGAGCAACTAAATAGGACACAAATGTATAGAGCTAAACCAGAAGAGCAACAAAACCCAATGGCGACACTCGGAAGATGTACCCGGATCACTTCCGGTGCGGTGTGGACTTTTCAAAATAAAAAAAAATCTTGGTTTGGTTTTTGTTTTAATGCCGTTTGGTTACCACTGTCTTTTGCAAAAGACTCTTATTCATCTTCTGTTACACTAATTCTAAAGCAAATGTTTGTAGTCAGTTTGAATTTCCCTCGGGATCAAGAAAGTATCTGTCTGTCTGTCTGTCTGTCTGTCTGTCTGTCTGTCTATCTATCTATATCTATATGGAAAATAAAATACATTCCATACTTTTTTCCTTTTGAAGCAGCAAAAACAAAATATGATAAAACACAAAGGGCTTGTAAATTAGGCTTAATTATTACAATAAAAACAATCAACAGGGTGTACTTTGTTACATATCTAGATAGAGTACAACACTTCTGTAGCATTCACGTAAAGCTTCCTTTAGGATTGTACAAACATAATGTCTTTAAAAACAAATAACACCATGAGCTCAGTTAACAGAGACATAAAAAATGCACATACAAAACATAACATCAAAATAAAATTCTCTCATCAAGCTATAACCTACAGGAGGACACAGGGATTCTTGGTGATAGATGAATGACTAAGAAAGGAACGCACAGCCTCTTCAAACACCTCATCCAGCCCTTGCTGGTTGATTGAGGCACACTCAAGATATTTAACAGACTTTATTTGCTTTGCCAGCTTTGATCCCTGCTGCTGGGTCACTGTGGTCTGATTCTTCTCCCTCAGTTTCTCCAGGACCTCCTGATCATCACGCAGGTCACTCTTTGTTCCCACAAGGAGAATTGGCACATTGGGGCAATGGTGTTTAACTTCTGGGTGCCATTTGCGCCTGACATTCTCATAGGAAGTTGGGTTCGCAATGGAGAAGCAGATGATGACAACACCGACTTTGTTGTAGCTGAGAGGGCGTATATGGTCATAGTCCTCACTGCCAGCACTGTCTAAAAGGTTCAGGCTGACGGTCTGGTTGTCTACGTTAACCTGGGTAGCTAATATGTCAAAGGAACTCAGGTAATCTGTAGGAAAGATCTTTCTGACATAGGTCAGGATTAGACGGGTCTTTCCTACATCATTGTCTCCAACAATCACACACCGGACACTCATTAAAGCACCTTCACCTCCGGAAACTCTGAAATGTAAAAAGTTATAATTAAGCACACTAAGTAGGATTCACATGATATGATCACATCTGGATCAAAGACGAAAGAAGATATTAAAACACAATTGGAATTGAAAAATTCAACCTACTTGTCAGATCTGTTGTATGTTTCCTGTAGTCATCCTGTATAAAATGGTTTAAATACTATTGAGTAGAACATGACATATGAGGTAAAGTAGGCAGTCCTTTGCACTTGCACAAGGTTTAACAAGTTTCATCCGGTTGGGGGGGAAAGAGAAGTACATGCTGGAAATTTTGGAATTTCATAATACTTTCAAAATGTTCTCTGAAACCAGTCGCTGGACTTACCGTACCAGAGGTACAGTTTACTGATCAAAAATAAGACAATGTAAAGGTGAAACATGTAACAGTAAAACATTTAATGCTGAGTAATCCAGTTCAGTACATATGACTGTAAAACAGATAAGACAGATGCACAGATACTCCTATTGCATTATGTGTTACATATAATAAAGTATTGAATCCCAATTTTGGTCTGGAATTTGTGCTGTTGACATATTGGATGACATCATGTTCTGTAAATCTCTTCTAACAATAGACCATTGACTGTGTCCTGTCCACAAATGGTGTGATAAGGCTTCTTTCATTTTATAATGTAGTTCTTTGTGTCAATATTGACCACAAGGAGCTGCTTTGAAAATAACACTAGTTTTTTTTAGGGCTTTAACTATATCTATCATTCTTACGCTGCAACTGGATTCATTTGCTTCAAGCATAACAGACTCATCTGGCCTCATGGCAAACTTGGGCATCTTTAAACGCTTACACTTTTTCCATGGACCTATACTTTTTGTAGCTATTTTTATACATACATTCACAGCCTCGTTAAGTGTCAGAGATCAGCTATTGACAGTTTTTTTCTCTACTTATGCTGATATCTCTAAAGGCTGGATTTACTACGTACTTTCATGTGGCATGCCTGATTATTTATGACTGAAAACACACCTTTAGACTGATCACAATAAGACAATCATTTCAATACTTTTACACACACTGATCATACTGAACTCTTCAATTTACTCGACGCTCTAAAGTGTTATGAAGTCAGCAACGTCTGGTGTCGATTTTAGGATTTAGATTATGTCGAATCATTGTAAAGGAAACTTGTTGATAAAGAAAACTTGACAATAAAGAAGCACCAAAAAGATTCATTTGGTTTGAAAATGAATGTGGAACCTTAACCAAAAAAAAAAAAAAAAAAAAAAAAAAAGGACACAAAAAAAGTATGCACAAAGAAAGTCAAGATCAGACAATGGTAGTACAGCAGGAATGTTTGAAATACTAGACTGTGCTTGATACTTAAAAGCTAAAGGTACGACTTATTTGACTTGAAACTGTCTGGGTTATTTCTATCTGCATGAAAACAGGCAGCGCTGTGTCTATGAATCAATAAAAAAACAACAACTGTATACATGGAAGGCTCACAGATGAGTCTGCTGGTGTTTCTTCATGTTACTCGAGTGACTGAAGCTTTTACCACAGTGGCTGCACTTGAATGGTTTCTCCCCTGTGTGGTAGCGCAGGTGAACTTTCAGGTAGCCTGACTGACTGAATCTCTTCCCGCACACTGAACAGCAGTACGGCTTCTCCCCAGTGTGCACCCGACTGTGTTTCTTAAAGTCGCCAGCATGCCTGAAGGTGCGGCCACACAGCACACAGCTGTAGTGTTTTCTCACATTTCTTTGGAAAATTCTTAAGCCTGGACCTTCAGCTTTTGTGTTCTTCTGGGCGGTGTATTGTTTTCCTGCTGTTTCACTGTCCATGTCTTTGTATCCTTGAGTCAGTGGCTCGTCTATTCCATTTTGGTTCAGACTAAAGACAAGCCTTGTGTCATTAGAGAGTCCTGAATTGGCTTGAGAAGGTTCTAGGTGTAGCGCGTAAAGGGATGTCGCTGTTCTTGCATCCTCAGCATATGAATCACTTTTGCTGTGCACGGTGCATTCTTCCAATGTAGCCTCTTCTTTTATTGTATGATCTTTTTCAGAGTTTATAACCGCGGTGGTACAGACCATGTGGTTTGAAATTGATGCTGAAAGTCCATCTTTGATCTCAGTTTTTAGAGTTTTTGGTTCAGACAAGTTATCACCTTTATAATGTGAGCTGGTTATAGCACAAGGGGAGAGACAGGAGTTGGGTAATGTTTTTGTGGTTGCTTCACAGTCAAAGTCTTTGAATGAATATGAGGGACACATTGCTGCACTGTCTTTGTCAAAGGAGATGAGTTTAATCACCTCTTCCTGCTCTTCGTTTTGTCCCTGTTCCATGAGATTAATCTCAGCATCAGACTGCGGGGCTGCAAGGGACGTTTGTGCCGCAATCCCTACAAAAATAGAGGCAATATTTAAAGAAACAGTCTCAATCATTTGTGCAACAAGTAATTCGATGATTTACCATTGCTTTCCAGTCGTGTGCTCTCCTGCAGCTCCTGCAGTCTCCTCTTCAGACTCTGGTTCTCTCTCTGTGTTCTGGCAGTTTTCTCCTGGTACTCTGACACAGTCTCATTTACCACCTTCAGAACCTCCTGCACAGCTTTAGACAGCAGCTTCTCCACTCGGAAGTTCAGACGCTCAAGTTTGGACATCTTTATCGACAATTTAAACTGGAAATCTGGAGAAAGGGGGATGGCAATTGTGTTTAATTGATCAATCCTTGCAGGAGCGGAATGCTTTCTACAAAGGTTTGTTGAGTTTTGCTTCACAAGTCTATAACAACTATCAAAACAATTTTTAAGACTCTAAGAAACTAGAGCATGCAAATTAACACATAATTTTACCCTAATAGCAAACAAAGGCATTGGTGTGAGTGAAATAAATACACTTTTTGAACATCAAATACTGCTCCAGGGGTCACAGCAATATTTTTCTTATTGTGTTACCTCACAATACGTTTGTGTTCCCTTGCAAAATATTTTATTTTTGTTGTCAACCTGGCATGAAGTTAAACAGAAGCTGAGGACAGGTGGTCAGCAGAACATTTAAAAACAACTCTTTCCTACCATAGTAAGGCAGACACAACATTATTATACGATCTCTGATATTAATACAACACTTAAGTTAATAAAATGTACTTCAACATGTTTTTTGGGGGATTATTTGCTCACCTCACACATAAAAGATCTCCGGTTGGTTTTACAGCAACTCTTTGTTTTCGAAACATACCTTTAAATAATTCTGGGGATTCATTTAACTGTAAAAAAATAAAAAAAATAAAAAATACAATTAAAAAAACCTGTGAATCTGTGAATTTTCAACTATACCAGTCTACACTGCCTATACCGGTGCAGTCAAAAAGTGATGCCAAGTTTGCAAAAGTATTGTGAGGTAACGCAAATGCATTTGTTTAGTTTTCTGCAAACGGACCATTAACAATACTAAACATTAATGTTACCATTTGATTTAATTAATTCAATTGCGTTGAATGAACCCTCGAATGAAATTCTCGCTGTGACCCTCGGGAATGAAAAGAGAAAGGCTCCTCAGTGTTTTTTAGGATATCTCGAGCTCTTAACATCAAACCTGATGTGATGGACGTCAAACGATCTCAGTCTCTGATGAAACCAACATAATGTAGAAGAAATCCTAAATGGAAGAAACTCATTGTATTCATATTCAAATTGATGCAGAAATGATCGACGAGGTTGTAAAATCCAGTGTCAGGACATGGTAGGCAAGAAGCCCATTTATCATCGTTTGCCGTATCTTTTCTGGAAGATGAGTCCTGTACTGGTTTATCAAATAAATATCCCGATCGATTTTGTTTATTTTCGCAGGAAACACGAGCAAACATGGACACTCACACTTCCTGGGTATTTTCAAGTGGCTAACATCCAGGGCGAGGTGCGTTGCTGCTATCTACTGGCGAAGACAAAAACAGCGCTTTCAAAATAACAAACCATTCACTGCAGATCACAGGACAGATTTCTGATTTCTATCTAGAGTGAAATAATTAATGTGTTAATTCTTTTCAGTGAAATAATGCGGCGATGGGCCATCACTGCACTAAGATGAACTCATAATTATTGGAATTATAAATTACCTTTACTAAAAACACAACAAAATTTGGATTTTTCCCTTCCTCGATTTATTTTCTTTTGCAACTTAAGGTACAGGAGTACACCAATATAATGATAACTTATTTAACAACAAAACATCCCTTATCATTTCAGCAACAGATTGCATTTACACAAACAAAAAAAGTGCTTAAAGATCTGATAATATATTCAACCCATTGCCCCTGAATGTTTTTTTATACATGACATATTAAAAGAGGCTATTATAAGACTTTAACAATTTGGCAGCAGTAATTTATACAAAATAAGAAGTCAAACTGTTACATTCATACATTAGGTTAAGATTGACTCAACATTTTAAGGCTAATATCTCCCTTTATTTAATGTAAACTCATGGCTCTCCTTCCAGCGTTGTTTCCTCAAACAGGCTTAGCAGGTTCTTTGGTTCGATGTTGGGTCGGGGTAATGCCTCCTCGGTCCGGACCCAGCTGCGGCCACATCTCTGCGAGGACTTGGTGGATACAGAGTGTCGGCTGTGCATGGAGATTTCGTTCAGGCTGTGCGAATTATTGTTTATCGGGCTAACGCTGGGTGTAAGAGTGCGGCAGGAACCCTTTGAGTGAATGCTGGAGGGCGTGTGTGCCAAGTTACAGGAGAACCAGTCGCTCATATTTGAGTGAGTAGGTGTGTTGGCAGGACTGTGATTGTGCATTGGTGAAGCTGGGAGAGGAGTGGATGTGCTTTCCACAGATAATCTGGATTTGACCCTGTGGAAAGAGTAAAATGAGAGTTTAAGCAGGGTATATGACTTATATTACAAATTAAGTCTTCAACTAACTCTTCCTTCAGTTAGGATGTTCATATGAGTGAGACTTTTTAAAGAGCTAACAGAGAGATAAATGATTCTTAGAATTCAGAGTAAAGAGCAGAGGCAACACGTTTATCAGTAGAGTGATTATCTACCTGTGTGAGAAGGTAGGGGAAAGCTCTGCGTCTGTAGGGTCCAAAAGAAACACTGCATCATCTTCTGGGCTCCCTGAGTCAGCATGCATGGCACTAAGGGGCAGGGTGAGATCCCTGTCCCAGCTGTCTTTGGGAGGAGTGCAGGGAACTGGCTTTGTCCAATGAGGGAGAAAGGAAGGAGTGGGAAGGAAGGACAGCAGTCTGCAGCCATTGCGCACAACAGACTACGAAAAAGAGACAAGAAACATTTAAAATACTTCTGAAATCTTGCGATATAAATATACAAATTGACAGGTTTAGTCATTCCTGGAATAGTTGCAATACATTTTATATTCTCAAGATACATTTTTGAAGGTGTATTGCACATATTACCTGGCAGAGGGAGGCCAGAGTCAGCAAAGTCTCGGCCAGCAGAAGATAAATGCGTCTTTTCCACCTGCGTTTCCAAACAGAGCGGATGGCGAGGAGCTCCGGGACCGTCGGCCTCTCAGATGGATTTGGTGCCAGCATCTTCCGCAGTACTGTCTGAAGCTCAGCTGACAGGCCTTAACACATACAGGCGAAAACAGTTAAACAGAAGATATGAAAACTGAAAATTGATTTTTAAGAATCTAGAAAGAAAGTGAATCTTACCACTGGTGAACTCTGAGGGGAGGCAGCCTTGTCTGAGCTGCTGCCAGCCTTCTCCACCATTTGGAACCTCAATATTGCAGGCGAGCTCCAGAATAGAAACACCCAAACTAAAAGCAAACAATTCAACAAATGATGCACTGTTTTACATATTTGATAATCCAGTTTTTCTTAGCATTTGTACCTAAATACATCTGCCGCAGGTCCATACTCCCCATGCAGCAGCTCAGGTGCCATGTATCGAGGATCTCCCTCCTGTGCATCCTCTTTCCATTTCCCCCCTGTGGGCTCTGTACTATTTTGCTTTAACTCAAGCAGCAGCCCGAAGTCCCCCAGCTTGAGACGGCCAGAGTCAGTCATGAGGACATTGGCAGGCTTGAGGTCCAGATGCACAAAACCATGAGAGTGTAGGTGCTGCAGGGCTGAGAGGAGGTCACACAGGTAGGCCCACGCTGCAGGCTCATCTGTATTCAATAGTTTTAAAGGAAAGAAAAGGAAAGGAATTCATCTTTTTCTGTGGCAAAAATGAATGTTTATTAAATACAACATATTCTAGTTTATACAATTATTGTAATGTGCCTTTCCAACAGACCTGGCCCAAGTTGGTTCTCAGCATGAAGTAGCAAACTGGTGCTGCAAAGCTCTGTCTGGATGTAAAGTCGGCCGCACTCTTCCCAGGCTGCCACAAAATCCAGGATGTGAGGGTGAGGACACAGGCGCTCATGGTTCCTTGCTTCTCTCACACTCCGGTTCCGCTCGCTTTTACCTCTGAAGCGATGAGCCGAGCGCTTGACTGCATACTGGCGGCTGTTCTTGTTGTTTTGCACCTAGAAAATGCAAGACAATGCTGAGGGTTTAGCTTTTACAGTTAATTGTAGTCGCAGAAAAAAAATATGGCAGAGATTTTCTTTGTAGTTGTGCTTCTCAATTAAAAAAACAACAGCACAGCTGTTCAAACTGCCAAAAAAAAATATATATATATATATATATATATATATAAAAATAAATAAAAAAACTTCTTACTAAATTTAGCTACCTTTCGACCCAATCCCATGCTTTTAACACAAACAGATACGAATTAAACCTTAAAAAAAAAAAGATTTGAACATATCACATAATTTTTTTCTAAGGATTTTAAACTTGTTAATTCAGTTTAAATATGTGTTTAACTGCTTTCATACACATACACATTTTCCCCTTCCTCACCTTGTAGACCTCTCCGAAGGATCCTCTTCCCAGCAGCCCCAGATTAGTGAAGCACTGGTTGAAGTAGGACTGCTGTTTGCTTGGATCGTATACAGAATTGGCAGGGGGAGACTTACTAAGGGAACAAGACAAGGGCGTGAAAGGGGATGGATGCTGGGGGAACATCCTGCTGAGAGGGGGACATCCTTTAGATGGTGGCAGCGGGGGCATAGAGTGTGAGAGCCAGGTAGGGGAAGAGTATGACGAGTTGGATGTGGACGAAGAGGAACAAGGAAGTCTGCGCTTTTTGAGGGAGAAGGACTGCTCTGCTTGGGAGAAGTGGGTTGGAATAGGGAGAGGCACCCTGGACATTGTGGTTTCCACTGCCACTGACATCATTTGGGGACTTTTTCAGTTCCTTAGTCCGAAGAAAGGTACCTGCAACATTCAAAAGAAAAATAAGCACTGGCTGGCTTAGCTGACAGTTAAAAATGGATGTATAACTGTATACTTCTGACACATGAGCTTCAACATTTGATTTGCCAAAGAGAATCTGTTCAGACACTAAAATATGTCACCCCTTTAAGTTTCTCTTTTTTTCCTCCAGCTTGGTCTCACTTGGCCATGACTGTACACATCTAATAACCAGCTTAACATGCTTGACAGGTTTTCTGTTAGAATAGAATAAAATATAATTACTTTATTGATCCCAAACTGGGAAACTGTGGCGTTACAGCAGCAGGTTATCCAAACACACAATATAAGTAAAAAAAAAAACCACAATGTTAGCAAATCTAAACACAATATAATATTAACTACAAAGTAAATAAGCACTAAAAGATATCAAAACTAAGAATGTGAATATATACAACCAGGATTTAACTTAAGCATTACTAGTCTTAAATAGGAAGATTAAATATGGAAGATTGAATGTAAATGTGCAAAAACAGAGTAGTAAATGGACAGTATTGACACAAGTTAAAGAAGTACTAATAAAATCCACCTGATTCTTTGATACACAGCTGGTACCGTAAACACGGTAGAACAGCT